ACTTTTTATTATTAAGGCTTTTTTACAGGTGGATGAGGTTATTATGTTTGTAAATTTTTCTAGTATGTTTCGGATGGAGTCTGGTAAGTTTGTGTGTGTGTGCTTAAATTGGTTTTAATAGAACTATAGTCAGATATGTGTAACGTAAGGAGTCTGGATAGGCATGTAGCCGTGTGACCGATGTAGTTATTAAGGAATTCGGTTTGACCAGGAACACATTTCATTAAGAAGCATTTGAACTTATAAATAATGTCTTGTTCGTTCTAATTTTGACTTTGCTGGTACGTTATTATTTTTGAGCATAAGATTAGTTTTATTTTAATCTTTTTTTTCAAATTTTTGTAGTAGATAATTAATTTGATTTTTTTATTCGGGTCGATTGGGGTAGTGTATTTCTTTATAATATTTCTAAGTGAAGATTCATCTTGTTTGTAGTTAATGTGCAATTTGTTTTTGTAGGACACATTTATGTAATTTTTGACTGTATCTTCACTATCATTGTTAATTACTTTGGGGAGAAATAGTCTAATTTGGTGGTCTATCAGGAGGTTAGGGAAGCCATTGTTAATTAGTGTCTGTTTATCATTATTGAGTTCTTTAAAGAAGAATTGTTGAGATGATGAATTCTGGTATGCTCTTATTAAGAAGTTTTTTTTTTATTACTGCTATTTTCTCACTGGTGGCAAGAGTTTCTGCTCGTGGTTTATTTTTATATAATAAGCTAATAAAATTGTTGTTACTATATTCTACGAGAACATCTAAAAATGGGAGTTTATTTTTTGACTAAGTTAAAATTAAGAACAAAGTCTTTTTTTTTTCAAATGTGGTCTTAAGTGTATCTATTTCTTTAGTGTTATTTGCTAAAATAAAAATATCGTCTACGTGGCGGACATATATATTAGGTTTACAGGCCTGTTTAAATATCATATTTTCTACATAGGACATGTACTAATTACAAAAGCATGGACCAAGTAGATTTCCCATACTAACACCATTAGTTTTGGTGTAAATGATGCCATTATGACCATAGAATGTGACTTTGGTTGTGCATGCGTGTAGTAATTTTTTGAGTATAAATGGTTCGATGGATGGCGGAGGGATAGAATTATTATTATACACAGATTTGAGGATGGTTTGATCGATGGAGACGTTTGTAAATAAGTTTTTAACATCAAGTGACGCTATAATACCTTAGTTTGGTTTAGTAGTTTTTAAAATTTGGAGGAATTCGTGGGTGGATGTGATGCGGTAATTGGTACGTAGGTATGGAATGACGCTGTCGTTCAGGAATTTTGATAGCTCATATACATACATATATATATATATATATATATATATATATATGGTAATACTCGTTTGTAAAACCTCGGATAGCTCAATTTGTAATAGAACAAATCGGTACCCAAGAAAATATTTTGAAATAAAAAAAGAAAGAACCAAGAACATATATATATATATATATATTTTTAATGGATACTCATAGTTGAATAGACGCACCATTTAATTAAACAGTATATTTTATATATTTTATATTATATATTATTTTCGTTTACCGCCCTGAATATTGGAGAAATCGTATTAAAGAAAAAATATGCACTCTGCGCATATTTTTCTGGGATGAAGATTGCGTTTATGCATGAAATAGAATATCGCCGCTATAAAGTTCACCCTTATATATATATATATATATATATATATATATATATATATATATATATATATATATATATATATATATATATATATATATATATATATATATATATATATATATATATATATATATATATTTGTGCGTGTGCATCTGTGCTTGTGTGTTTGTATAGATTAACAGCACTTCCTTACCATGTATATTTTTAAAAATTCCTCCACAGATTATGTAGAAAAATATGTGCATGTGTGTGCGCGCCTGTGTATGTGAGTATGTATGTGTAAAAGTTTATATATAACTTAAAATATATATCTAAAAGGACAATAAAAGTAAAGACTATATATGTATATATTTACACACACACACACACACACACACACACACACATATATATATATATATATATATATATATATATATGAATACAAAAGGAGAGAGAGAGAGAAAAAAACACGTAGCTTTTCCTTTTAAATATCTACTTGCTAAACTTAATTTAACATGCCCACAACTATAAGGATCCTTAAGAAACTTAAATCTGTTTTTCGACCATCGGTATCTTATTCAGATATTTATGTAAGGTTTGATACAAAAATAAGAAGAAAAATCAAATATTTTTTACTGTCTATATACCTACTGTTATACATATTAATATTTTAAGTATTTTAAATTATATAAGTTTTAGGGAAGGCGACGATGTCTTCTTCGTTGAATGAAGACATATTGGTAAAAATAGAGGAAAACAAATAAAATTCTAAACATAAATATATAAAAGGTAATTAACAAAAGCAAGCCTAAATTATGTTCAAAACAATACATTCCTCGTTTCTTTCTAATTTAATTATCAACGATTAAAAATGCAATTAGACAATTAAGCAATCAGCTGTAGGTAAAAGTACGTAAAGTTATAAGCGCGCTCACACACTCGTCTGCAGATAATCTGTGATAAAATTTAATTAAAATGATTCTTTGTGCATATGCCACTCGTAATAGTGTCTGTCAAATCCTAACAAAGAGACTACAACTGCGACAAAAAAAGAGTGTCGTGGCTCATCTGATAAAAAAGTCGATTCATTAACCAAGAAGGGATTCTTTAACCAAAGTGAGTTTCGTGCTGGCTCTTGACTTTTTGACTATATCCCAATTGCATAATCTTTCTGTTTAAGTGCGAAAAATATATATTGCCCACGCGAAGAGCAAAGATAAAAAAAGAAATACTTTGCATTTATAATAAATCTTGGACAATGCCATTAAACTTTGGAAGTCACAATTACAACAAAGATTTTGTAAGATAATGTTATAGAAATAATAAAAATATTTTCACATAAAGAATTTATTCGTAAAAGCAGTAGTTGTGCATGAAGTATTAATTGTAATTCGCCCTCCCCATAGTAAATAATCACGATGTAAATCCGTATCAAAGTTATTGTGCTTGTAAGTAAACTTAACGATTAAAAACGAATTTATTTTGAAAACAACTGCTAATACGAGGTGGGTATTGATACGTACGAGGTTGGTCAGCAATTTCGTCAAGTGAGTTCGATCTCGAGTATTTGACTACTGTCTTTTTGCCTGGCTATGCCTAGTAAATATAAACGCGTCCAGTCGAATTCCTTGTTAACATTGTAATCACGAAACGATTATGTCTGTGGTGCTTCTGATATTTATTTACGTTGATTTACTCACAATGTAACAAATCTGGCACAAGGCCGTATAGACAGAGCACCTAATGATTATCGAACTCCAAACGTTGCCATATTGCGCGCATTTCTAAACAACAACGAGTTTTTAACCTAATAACATTTGGGCGAAGTAATATTACTTCAAGTTCTCAGTGGTTGAAGTAGTAGTAATAAGTACAGAAGAGTAGCAGGGAGGAAATAGTACCCACCCACTGTAATATAATAGTTGAGGCAGAATTAGAACGAGACGACGTCCCACTATTTAAACAGGGCGGGCCAAACCTTGTAAAGAAATAAGAACGGGTATAAAAGGATGGTGGGAAACACAAGATGCAGTTCTGAGTGAAAAACGAGTAAAAAAATTCGGGGAGGGGAGATACGACCTTTGTTGTTAACGAAAAAAAATATGAATAGCACGACAAGGGAGCTATATCTTACCTAAAAGAGAATTTACCTGACAAAAAGATGATTGGTTTTCATATTCTAAAACTTCCCCTTCATTTCAAAATGTTCACTTCGAAATTTAAAAACCCAAAAGGAAAGAATAAAGGTGTGTATTTTCTGTCGCAATCGACGAGTTTTAATCAACAACAACAAAAACAAGAAAACACTTACTATTCTATTATTTGCGTTTTTGGAAATCCAATCTCTTCATATTTTGGATTTTCTTTGTAAAGGTTTCTGTGAATTGTTGATATTTGACACGTTCTTAGCTTCTTCACTATTGTGACGGGCCACGTGCTTTCACGAGATGTGAGGTGACCACAGCAATCGCAAACCTTCATTGGCTCCTTCAGAATGTTCTTTTCAGCTTATAAATACATATTAGCATTTCTCCTTTTTTAAAGACATACACACAAGCATAAATACATTTCTCCCTTTCTTCTTTCATACACACAAATATATATATATATATATATATATATATATATATATATATATATATATATATATATTAGATTACATATCTATCTATCTACCTATAATATATATATATATATATATATATATATATATATATATATATATATATATATATATATATATATATATATATATATATATATATATATATCTTTGTGTGTGTGCCCACGCATGCACGTTACATAAATTTATGTCGTATATTTACAGATTTTTTTTCCCGTAAAAGTTCAGCGCTCAAATTTCGAATGGAGGCAATAGTAGAAATTGTGACCCTAATTATACCTAGCCAGCCCATCACCGAAAATCTAAAATTTCCACGTAGAAAGGAATTCTTATTAAAAGAATGAATTCATCTCATTATATTTTTCTCGGCATTTTAGTTTTGTTCTTGATCAAGTACAAGACGCTACGTTTAATTTAAAATGTCTTACTAATTCTCTTTCTTTTTTTCTTTATATATATATATATATATATATATATATATGTGTGTGTGTGTGTGTGTGTGTGTGTGTGTGTGTGTGTGTATGTACATATATATATACGCACATATCGAAATCAAGATTGTATGTGGTTACATAAAGTGTTTTTTATCCTTGGTATATATATATGTGTGTGTTTATGTGCGTGTATGTCTTTTTATTTCTCCTTTTTTAAAGACACACACACGAACATAAATATATTTCATCAGTTTTAAGTAAATTTCGTTATAGATGTGACTATCAATAGATTAGTAAATTTCGATATAGATGAATCTATCTATCTATCTATCTATCTATCTATCTATCTATCTATCTATCTATCTATCTATCTATCTATCTCTATCTATGTCTTTTCGTTTATTCTTCATCTATCTATCTATCTATCTATCTATCTATCTATCTATCTATCTATCTATCTATCTATCTATTTCTACAATATTTCTCGGGGATTCAGGCCGGTAAATGTAGTTAATATTGTTTATTATAAACAGAACGTTTAATTAAATATCTGTATCTATAAAAATAACGTATAAATAGAAAATATATTAAAATAATTGTCGGGCATATATGTCGAAGTTATACATACATACATACACATATATATATATATATATACATATATATATATATATATATATGTGTGTGTGTGTGTGTGTGTGTGTGTGTGTAGGGAAAGAGAGAAAAACAAAAAAGTTAGGAAGTGACATAGATATGAACAGAAATATAATAATCGAATCAATCAATCTTTGCTAATTTACATGTCTTCCATTCGTTTGCAAGTTATACCTCCTTTTTTTTTTCTCTGAAGCTATGTTTTATCTTCTTTCGCTATGATATAGTTTGGTACCAAACAATGTACTCAGCAAATAATATATGTCAGAATATATTTCTTACTGATATGTAACTTTGCCAAATAACATGTCCTTGTCTTTCCCGCGCTTATTTTCATATTATTATTCCTCTATTTGTCCCTCTCTCTCTCTCTTTATCTCTGTTTTGATGACAAACAAACTCGTATCTTTTCATGTACATAATTCTCACAGATTTATATATAATGATATAGAGATACACACAGCTTATTACAGAGTCTAGTACAAGAATAATACGGTCGTGTTGCACCAGTCATCCGGTATACTATAGTCTACATTCATTAAAAATCAATATTATAATCTGGACTTTACGTCGGCTCGAAACATTGGCGAAAATTATATAAGTGCCGCAGCAAACAACCAGACTTGAACATGAAATGATGTAACCATTTTTGCTCCTAATATTTAAATACACTCTATCTACATACGTTAAACACTCATATTAAACATGCATTTATATATATATATATATATATATATATGTGTGTGTGTGTGTGTGTGTGTGTGTGTGTGTGTGTGTGTAGTGAATCGAAGTTAAATTCTTTATATTTTATTTTTATTTCGTGTTCTTTCTCTTTGCTGCACTCACATACAGACATAATTTGACTTTTCATTATTTTTTACACAAAACTGCATTTTCTAATTTCTTTTCTAATTTTTTCATTTCTTTCATTTTTTTTTTTTTGTTTATTCTTGGTTTTCATTTTTTTCTTATCTTCTTTTTCTTTTTTACTTTCTTAATTACATTTTCCGTCTCTGTCTCTTTCTTCCCCCTCTTTTCTCCCTGTCTTCCAAACATATCCTCGAACCCACAATATTCTTATCCAATAAGTCTCTTCCGGCTTTGGTTTTCTCTCTCTCTCATCTTTCTTCCTCTCTCTGAAACACACACACACACACACACACACACACACACACACACACACACACACACACACACACACACACACAGGTATATATATATATATATATATATATATATATACACACACATCAATTTCAATTCAAGTACTTTTTCTCTTATCTGTTTCGTTTTACCAGCAAAATTTCCATAAACTTCCTACACATTCTTCCTCTAAGTCATATATATATATATATATATATATATTTTGAACAATAAGAAAATTAAAAATTAAAAAATTAAAAAATTAAAAAATTAAAATCATTAGACACACTGGGTTGTAGATTAATATTCTTTCGTTTTTTTATTATTATTATTATTCCATTTAAATTCCTCGACTAGTTTCGACCGAAATGGCCATCATCGGGAGGCGAAATATTTCTGCTTGCTGTTAGCAAGGAACTACAGAAATGAATGTCTTTTGTTGGAGAAAATGAACTTTTGTCTGTAGTTTTCATTTGTTTTTTTATTTTTTTATCTTTTTAACATGAATCTTTTAACATTCCTTGTGTTGGTCAAACAGTCTCTTTTAAGTTGTTATTTGAGATAAGAACTGGATAAGATACATTTTATCCTGAATTCTCTGGTCAGTTTGACAGTTTTATTGGACCTGGTGAGGGGATGTGTCTCTGTTTAGTGTTTGTGTGTGTGTTATTTGGTTCTTAGGGAGTGAGTGAGTATGATATGTGTAAGCGTGTGCATTGCTGTAGGTGTGTGTTATCATTTGGCTCATTAGGGAGTGAGTGAGTATGGTGTGTGTACGTGTGTATAATCGTGTGGGTGAGTGTATAAGTGTGAGGCCTCCATTCCTCCTTAAGCATGTCTGTCTTGTGTGGGTGAGAAATGTGGGTAGGTTTTGATTTGATTGTTACCATTATATGTTGTTAAATTTGTGATTTAGCCCGGCTGGGTATTGTGTTTTTAGACGTTGTATCCACTTATTTTCATGGGACTCTAAAATTTTTCTAATGTTATCTGCTCTGAACTTTTCTATTCTCTCAATTATAGTGAATCTGGCATGGGTTTTGAAATCGTGTTTTTCTAGGCGGAAATGTTGTTCTACAGGTAATAACTGCTCATAGGGAGTCGATTTAATTCGCTTACGATAATTATTAATTCTGTAGTTAAAGGGCCATTCAGATTTTCCTACATATTGTTTCTGGCATAGTGTGCATTCTAGGAGGTAAATTATGTTTTGACTTCTACAGTTAGAATCGTGGTAGATTTTGAAAGTAGATTTAGTGATTGAGCTAGTGAATGAATTCGTGTTTTTAATATGGTTGCAACATAAACTTCTTTTTGTTGTTACATGGTTGGGAAAATCCTGTTGTTTTTGTTCTCAGTTTCTTACGGATTACCTTGTCCCCTGAAATGTGGTTACTACCTATGATTTCTTTTTAGGTTCTTAGGTCTACGATATGCCAGAAGGCCGGGTTCCTTAAGCAGTTTTTTTAGGTCTGGTTTGAGATGTAGTATTTCCCAGCGACGTTTGATTATTTGGGATAGTGGAGGCAGAGTGGGATTGAAAGTGGTTACTAGAGGGATGCGGCTAGATTTATTTTTAATCTTGTATATTAGGGTGTCTTCTCTAGGTGTGGAAATTGCTTTATTTATTTGTTCCCTGATTAGGTGTTGTTTATAGCCACGTGTTGTGAATTGATGCTCAGATTTTCAATGTGTTTATTTAATTCTTCATTGTTGGAACATATCCTTCTGAGTCTAAGTTCTTGTGAATAGGGAAGGTTCGCTTTGAGGTGTTTAGGGTGGGAAGACTTAAAGTGTAGATAGTTGTGGGTGTCGGTGATTTTAGTGTGTAGTGTCGTTTGTAGTTTCCTGTTTTCATCTATGTAAATGCGGGTGTCTAAAAATGTTACTGATGTTGTGGATTTTTCATATTCAAACTTAATTGAGTCGTGCACTGTGTTTAGGGTCATAAGGAATTGGGTAAGTTTGTCATCACTACCCGTGTATACAAAGAATATATCATTGATCTTGCATAGAATACGCAGTCGCTACCAATGATGGGATAGATATGGGTTTCCTCAAATTTTCCCATGAATATTGTTATGATGGAGCTGCAATGGTGCCCATGGCACAACCTCTTATTTTTAAGGTAGTGTGCTCCATTGAAGTTGAAAGTATTCAATGTAAGGACATGCTCCATGAGTTTTATGATGACTTGGGGGGTCCTGTTTTCTTTTTTAGTAGTGCTTCCTGAAGGGCGGCCAGCCCTTCGATGTTTTTAATGTTTGAATATAGTGACCTAACGTCCATAGTCACTAGAATAGCTTTCTCTGGTATTGTTTGTATGTGATTAATTTTGTTCAGTAGATCTGTTGTGTCTCTGATGTAGGATTTTACTTCCTTAGCTAGCGGTTGTATGTAATGGTCTATGTATTTGGAAATTTTTGTCGTGTGGCAGTTGAACGATGAAATAACCGGCCTTCCTGGATTGTTGCTTTTGTGTATTTTAGGAAGGAGATAGAAGCGGGCAGGTGTAATGTTTGTGGGTGTAAGTGTTGTGCATGTTTCCTTGTCGATTAGATTGTTGCGAAGCATTAAGTTTAGTGAGCTAGTTAATTCTTTTTGGTATTCTGGAAGGGGATCTGTAGGTATGCTTTTGTAGGTTTCTTTGTCGGCTAGCTGTTTGTTGGCCTCTTTAACGTATTCTTCGATTCCCCAGATCACTGTCGCACCCCCTTTGTCAGCCTGTTATGATTACGTCATCCCTATGTGTCAGTGTATCGAGGGCTATACGTTCTCCTTCAGTCATATTGTCACGTGGCAGCTTACGTGCTATTGTTTTCTTTATGTCATTTGTTACAGCTAGTTCGAATGTCTGTATAGTAATGTCTGTGTTTTGTGGGGTGTAGGTAGTATCCTTCTTTTTAATGTCTCAAGTATAGAAGGTGTATGATCATTTTTTCCCATAGTGGGCTTTTTTCATTCTTCTAAAGAAGGATTTCAGGTCCTTAGCCAAGGTGTCTTTTATCAAACCTTGGGGACTAGGACAAAAGCTAGTCCTTTATTTAATACCCTGAATGTATTGAGTGAAAATTTATTGTTACTCAAATTTATAACTCGCCCGTATGGGTCAAGTTTGAATTTGCAAGCATGGCGAAGTTCTTTTGTAAAAGCTCAAAGCTAGCATCATATCTCCCTATTAGGGATGCTATACCCCCACCCAGGTGTCCTGGTTGGGGGCTTATTCCGTTTTTTTTTAAGGTTGGGTGTGTCTGTTGTTGACTGTCTAAAATCTAGGTGGTCTGGGCTGTCTAATGGAGTTATGCGTTCTGTAGAAGGGCTGCTGTGTTTTGGTTTGTGTATGTTTGTACGGCACCCTAAGGATGTCCTTGTAGGTTAGTGGTTTGTTTTTTGTGTGTGTTTGTATTGAGGTTCTAGCTATTGTTGATGGTGGCGGTGTTGTTATTGTTGGTTGTGGTGCTGCTGTTTGTCTGTAGGTGTACTTATTTGGTCTGTTTGTGTTTGCATTGGTTGTGTGGTGGCGGTGTTTTGTTGTTTTCTTTTTTGGATATGGTCGTTCACTTTTTTTTCAGAGTTTGGCTTCATTTCTTTTTTTGTTCCTCTGTCTGGAGGAAATATTCCATCTTAATTTCCTTTGTTTTTCAGTTTTTTGTTTTTGTAGTTCCCTCACTGTTTGGTCTGTGTGAGCTTTTATGACATTCTTGATGTTGGTATATTCTTCCGTGTCCGTTTGTTTTTTTTATTTTCTCATCGAGCAGGTTAATTTCTGCTTTTGTTGCGGTTATGTTTTCTTGGCAGAACTGCATGGTATCCTGCATGAGCTCCCTGGAGAAGTCTTCTAATTTACGGTACCATGATGCTAGAAACGCGTCATTGTGGTTACCTATAGAAGGTTCTAAATCAATCCTGAAATTAGTTGGTACTAATCGATCCTTCAGGCATATCCCAATATATTCCCGGTGTGATTCATACCTGGCTAATTTGTTGGTTGCTCTATTCATGCGGATAGCTAATAATTCTGTGTTTATTGGTTCTGTTGGTGTTATGTCCTCGGCATTTGGTTCAGTCCCGTGTCCATTATTCATGATTATATTTTGAACAATAAGAAAATTAAAAATTAAAAAATTAAAAAATTAAAATCATTAGACACACTGGTATATATATATATATATATATATATATATATATATATATATATATATATATATATATATATATATATATATCAATTGAGCCAGTTCACCCTGAAAATTTAATGTGGTGAAACTTATGTAGGTAGTACATGGGTCATTAGAATTTATTTATTTTACTTTTGCTCTACTTAATATATTGAGCACTCTTCGTTTTAACTTATTACTCGTTGTGTTTTCGTTCTTTGTACCAGACATTTAAGGTACTGGACGATTTCGTTCGTTCTGTTTGGAGGTTTCTGCTGCTTTTTTTTTTTTTTTTCATTTTTCCTCGGATGCCAATTTATGTGAAATTGTGCTATCCAGGTTTTTCACCCACCGAGTTTAAATAGATTTAAATTATTTCACATATATATATATATATATATATATATATATATATATATATATATATATATATCTTCTTCATACCAATACATAAATACATGCATACATACACACACACACACACACACACACATATATATATATATATATATATATATATATATATATATATAATTATATATATGCCTATATTTTAGCATGATATGTATGAAGAAATATAGTTTTAAGATGTGCTATATTTATGGGGTAAAGTGCTCGATATCAAAGATAGAGCGTGTGTAAATATAAAAGTGAACATAGAAATCAACACTTACAAGCGACAGGCTGTTTCATGCTAGATGCAATCGTCAGCACTCGAGGCCTGACGATTGCATCTAGCATGAAACAGACTGTCGCCTCTAAGTGTTGACTTCTATGTTCATATATATATATGTATGTATGTATGTATGTATGTCTGTATGTATGTCTGTATGTCTGTATGTATCGCTACTTCAGTATTTCCATTGCGTAATGATAATGAAATCTCGCATAAAGAAATACCGCTTAAATGCAATATTCAGGTCATCAGATTGTTTTTAATATGAAACAGACCTGAAGATTGCATTTATGCATGCACAGACTGTCGCCACTGGGTGTTCACTTCAATGCCCACTTTTATATTTCTCCACTTTTATATTTACATACGCTGACAGTATACTTTACAGCATACATTAAAACTTCATTTTTCTTCTATATATATATATATATATCTTTTCCCAGTAATTTATGGACTCTTGCATAATTACATATATCTATCAATCTATGTATGTATGTATGTATGTATGTATCTATCTATCTATCTATCTATATATATATATATATATATAGATATAGATAGATAGATAGATAGATAGATAGATAGATAGATAGATAGATTTATATTCATTGACATGACACCAAATGTATAATATGGCATTCCCTTCAAGACATTGCTGATATGTTTCGGCATCATTACTGTTTTTTTTTTTTTTTTATAAGTAGTTTTTAATTAACTTGAATTTGTTGAACGGAGAACTGGGTTCAATTTTTGTAATTTGTAATGTTTTTCTTTTTTAATCATTTCACCCCCCTCCCCCGCCAAGCAAGGCGGGAGGGCCTCAAGTCGGCTCGGGGTTTACATAGAGTGAAGGTCAGAGAAAACACTGAGTATAGTGGGGGGACCAAAGAAAGGATAAATGTTCAAAGGGGTTCAAGAAAATAGAAGATGGCGATTGACAGTAAAACGATGGGACCTAAATACCAATCTAGTAGTACATTTAAACTTCCGTAGACCAGGCATCAGGGAAAAAACGCTTGTCAGAGCAGTTGCCATAAAACATTTGTAGAAAAGACAGAGGGAAGCCATGTCACGCCGGTGAGAAAGTGACTGACATCGAGATGCCCAGTCAGGATTGATTACGTCTCTTACACACATCTATTTAATTTGGCAATTGCAAAGTTTTGTCAATACTTCATATTTAAAGCTAAAATCTGTTATTACTGGATTTTTTTTTCGTGTGTGTGTTTATTTCTTATTTTCTGAATCTCTTACATTGAATTCTCCAGTAGACTGATTGTGTGACGGTACAAACGGTAGAAGATTTTGCTATGTGGCATATTTTAATATGTAAATCAGTATTTTAATAAAACTTTGATATTAGCTAACAAACGTTGGTAACATATTCTGTATATGCTTATATTAATATGATTCAAATTGCTGATTCTAATATCTGCTTTTATTAGAAATATTTACAGTAACTGATTTGATGGTGCGTAGTGGTTTTATATAACTTAACCATTGTTCATATTCTAGGTAAAATATATAGGTAATAGTATAGTTATTGATATTTATTTATAATTTCAGATGTAGAAAGTTACCTATGATTCTTTAGAAATATATAAACATAAAAAGCGAAAGGAGATGTTGTAAATTATTGAATGATTGGAAGAAAACATTGGAAATCGCGGAATTAGATCACAGAAGAGGAAAATGAAAATAAAATATGGCTGAACGAAAATAAAACATGGCTGAAAGAACGTCAGAAAGATGGAAAAATGAAAGCGGATTGAAGAAACTTGCATTTCAAATTTGGGCAGAGCAAAAAGATGCAAAATATTAAGAACATTGGTTAAAGAAACTTAAGTAATCAAAGTTAATGATACAAAAATAAAAGTTGGACAAAGAAATTTATAAAAAGTGATTTCTTAATTTTAATGAAGAATACAGAAATACATTGGATAGACTTTATTTATTTTGATAAATGTAAATTTACATTGTGTGGTTCTGATAGCTAGATTAGCGTTTTGGTCATTCATGAAAACAATCAATCAACACATCTTAGACAGAGAGAAGAGAGAGAAGAGAGAGAGGGAGAGACAGGCAGACAGAAAGAGAGGGCTGGGGAAGTTGTCTCCCTTGAATGTTGTATGTTAGTAGTGGCTCACATTAATAACATTAAGTTTAGCTGAATTGGATCAAATCCCAAACAGTTCTTCTCCTTGGCTTCTTGACTTTAGTTGCAGATATTAAAACGCATCACAGGGTTTTAAACTAAAATCCATTTTCTCAATGATTTCATAAAAATAATCACAGATAAAAGTGTTGGTATTGCGAAGTTAAAGAGAATATATTTTGAATTCAGACCTCATCATGCGTATGTCAACAGGACAATAAGTAAAAGGTGACGTTGTGAATTAAATTGGACTTCTGACCACTGGTACATTCTTCAGGATATATAGTTCATTTTGTTTTTCCTTTTTAATCGTGTCGCCACATGCAAGGCTGTAGAGCTACTAAGACACACGTGGTTACTGAATGTGAAAGAATAAGAAAAAAGAAAAACATTATTAATAAGCGAGAACAATGGAAGAGTAATTAAGAGGACAGTAGATAACGATTGACGTTGCATTTAAATTTTTGAAAATCTTCCCAACATGGAGCCGGAAGTGAGTTCCACAAGCAAGAAGTGCGAGAAAATAACTATTAGCATAAAACCTACGGTTACATCTAACCAATTCAAGTGTGAACTGGTGAGACCTGGCTGCCAATCTAGTACTGCGCTTAAATTCATAAAGTTCAGATGCCATAGTGAAGAGTTGATCCGAACAGTTACCATGTTAGTATTTATAGACAAGACACAGGAAAGAAATATTACAGTAGTGGGAAAGTGACTGAAGCCGGGATGCTAGGTCAGGACCAATAATATTGCTGATTCTACTTTAGATATACAGCAAACGACATGAGACAACAATATTCAGGGAATGAACAAATGGTCGACATAAATATGTAAGATAGATTCATGAAAGAAAAATTGTTTAGCAGGATGAACCAACTTTCTTAGCAGCAAACCTAGTAATGGATTTAATCTAATCTTTCCAATTCATGTCAATCAAGAATGTAAGACCGATAAGTCGAAAGGAATCGCTCTTCTGGAATTTAGTATCATCGGGAAGCAGGGAATTATGTTTCGGAGGTGTTAAAATTAACAAGCTATTCCTTGTCCCATTTGACAACAGACTGTATGTTATTCTTGAGATCAGCTACCAATATGACCTTATCAAACCGACCAGACTTACTATTCTTGTCTGAAAAGGAAATAAACTAATTCGTTCACCATTAAAATTAGGAAATATAAATATAAACTTACAATTTCATACGTTGTAGTTTTTTGGCTACTTTTAAAGAAGCTTGGTTAACTTTTACAACAAACGAAAAAAATCAATTTCAAACTTTAAAATATAGAAGACCAATTATCTATTTATTTCTCAGTCTGGCAATCCTGCTTACAGATCATTCATATTTACCAGACACTGATATTAAGTGAAAGATCTAATTTTCCTTACGGCCAGGGATGTCAAACTTTTTCTGATCGTAGATATTTCTCTGCTCTAAACATACTTTTAGGTAAGGTTGCCAAATTCCAGCCTTATTAAATTTTGAATTTCGCTATTTGAGAATTTCTGGGCTACATTTTGCCGGTTCAACATAAATTACTAATCAGAAAAAAAAGGTCAATTCAAATTTTAGTAACATTCATCGAACTTGATACTTATAACCTCATCTTGCAACAATGTGTTCGTGACGACGCAATATGTGGAAAAGGTCAAAGAACAGTCAAGTAGAAATATGCATCTAATCGATGGTTTATTGTTGTCTATGCAAACGCCTACAGATGTGTGAGGAGCCTGCATTTGTTCACCCAGGAACGTGTCATGGGAATAAGATGAAATGTTGGAAGACTAAATCGTTATTCAAATGCACGCAAAAATAGGCTTGACATGCCCTCCCAAAGCAGATTGTCGGGTCACTTAAGCTGGAGAGATCATTTAGTTGGATTTCTTTTGAAGAAGGCAGACCTTAAGCGCTGATTTCTTCCTAGGTTTATTTCCATTTTCACCGCCCTATCGACTGTATTTTAAAGCTCCATTGCATGTACTGACTTCACCGTAAACCCGAAACTCCGCCCTCCCGGCGCCCACGCCTGAGCTCTTCGCGTGCCAGGTGCTGGATTTTCGACTTCCTTTACGTGATACATTTTTTTTCTTTACCTTGTATTTCCAAAGAAGGAGAAATAATCCGACGAGCAAAGGCGGCGAAACCTTAGAACGAAATCTTCGGTAAGATTTGCAGCTGCACGTGTGAACGGAAATTTTTTTTCTGGAGGAGATGCATTGAACAGCACAGACAATGGCAGAATAGGGCTTTCTTTGGGGGGGTCAGTCGTTCTCATTCGTCACGCTTTTCTACATATATATGCATATATATATATATGTGTGTGTGTGTTTGTGCGTCTATATGTGTGTGTTTGTATGCGTGTGTTTTTGTATGTGTGTGTGTTTGTTGTGTGTGTGTTCCTACATATATTTAGATAGATATGTGTCTGGGCGTGCGTCGTGTCTGTGTGTGTTTGGTTCTGTTTGTGCCTATCTGCACGTATATCTGTCTCTGTGTCTGTTTTTGTGTGTGCGCGACTTTCTGTATGTGTGTGTGTGTACCTGTGTGTGACTGTGTGTGTGTGTCTCTCTCTCTCTGCGTGAGTCTGTGTGTATGTGTGTTTGTGCCTTTTCTAAAACGTGTATCTGTTTACACTATTCCAGATATGAGCATAATATTGAATGTGTTTCAGCTTCTATCTATCTATCTAACTATCTATCTCTATATATATATATATATATATATATATAGCTTAGCTCTCTCTATATATATAAGAGCTAGCTAGCTAGCTTAGCTATCTATCTATCTATCTATCTATCTATCTATCTATCTATCTATCTGTCGATTTATCTATCTATCTATAAATCTATGTTCTTGCCACATTTCACCTTTCTTGACAGATCTTCTGTCGTTACAATGTTTGATATTTAAACACAAAAAATAAAACCCAGACAACCCGAAAAGGATCGTCTAGGCGCTGTGCATCTAGACATGGAAGACGTCAAAATGTTTTCAATTAAAAATTATAAATTTTTTAAGCTTAAACACAAAAATTTAACATTCCCAAATGTTCAACGCTTCCTCTTCGTGAATAAATTAAATATTATCAATGATAAATTAAATATTATCAGTGATAAATGAAATATTATCAATGATAAATACATTGTATTGTACTTAGTTTACATATTTTTAAGAACTTGTAAATATAGAATTAATCTTATAAGTAAATTTAACAACTAAAAGATGTATAACATTTTTTCTGTTATTAAAATTTTAAACAGTTTTTTTTTTAAAAACCCAATAAACATTTCCCAGGGATTCAAAGTATTATACAGGAATAGCAGCGTTAAGAGAAATACCGTCCTTTTCATCTTTTCATACACCTTCTTTTTTTTGAGGCTCTCAATGTTAAAATTTGCCAGATTTTATTTATAAATAAATCTAAAAAAGATATTGGCTAATGGAATATATTTGGTTAACACAAAATCTCATATGATTGAATAAATTATTATTCTATATGAGAACTTTAACCTTTACTAACTTCTATTAATCTTTCATTCACTGATTTTATTAACGTAAAAATTGTATGTAGAGGTGAATAGCGGAGTTGGAGAGTGAGAAGAGAGATCATAAAGAAAGAAGAGAGAGTAAGGCGAGAGAGTGAGAAGTAAGTCAAATGTTAGATGTGTTAACAAATGTTATGGCAACTAATATCTTTGTATGCACAGCAAACCTATTACGGAAAAGTTTTTCTTTTTTTTGGTTCAATAGCAGTTTACAAAAGTGACAACACCAATTTGCTGAACGAAGAACTACACTGCCAGGATCCCAACGACATGAAAGCACAATATCTGCTAACGAGGAAACAACACAATTCCATTTTAATTCGAACTGAGAAAACGCAAATACGTCAATCAATTTAACCAAAATTAACATTAATATGATCCAATTAATTAAATGAATTTAGTTAGACTGACCTTTTAAACTACTCTGTTAGGAACCCAGACAAAAGATTTCCCTTGAAAATAAGGAATGAGATCCTCTAAGATTTCAAATAATGCCATCCAAGCTAAATTCCAAGCCGATGTAATTGTGCTAAATTATTAGAGAAAGAAAAAGACGTAATAAAGTCATGAATTATCAAGAACATTAAAATGACAGATATAAACAAACTGAGAGGATCTTTAACGATCTTCTTTTATAATCCATGTTCCTTCAAGGGTTGGATGATCATGGCTCTCTCCAGCTACCTATTCTTTTTAGATCAACATTTTAGATTACATTTCTATCTTTACTCTCTCCCCCAACCATCCGTTTAAACACCTTCATTAAGTAATTTCTTCACTGATTTATTTTGCCCCTCTTGCCTTCAGTATATTTTGTGAGTGTCAAATTCTCCAATCCTTCTTTCCCATTATATGCTCAGAAATGTCAACTGTTTCTCTCTGATTCTGAATATAAGTACCATTTTTGTTTTGATTTCACTTAAAACTTTCTCGTGTTTCAATTGTTCCGTCTTTGCTATTCTCAGTATCCTTCTATAGAACCACATACCTATTGCCTGAAGTCTCTTCTTTACCTATGAGGAAATTGTTCAGCATTCATCGTCACATGATGACTGATAATACATAGTACACTTTGTTTTGTTTCCAACTAATTGCTTTTATCTGTTCCTTAATGCTTTGCTTAGCTTTTGCAAGGCATCTTTCGCTATTCCCAGGTGTTTTCGGTTTCACATTTCCCCGTCGTCTGTGAAAAAATTTCGCAAATATTTAAATGTCTTGCTTGATTGTGACATCTCCAATTAAAACAAGAATGAAGATGCAATCAAAAACCAATTTTATCTGGATCCCAGCATTTTAGGACAGTGAGTGCTAAATATTTTGTTAGTGACTTGTGACTTTTCGTGGCCACTACCAGATTCTCCAAATAAGAAAGTGGAAAATAATCGTTCCTTAGAAAGCTTGTATATGGCAAAAGATTTCATTGGTTTCCAACTTCTATGGAAGAGCAGAGTTAGTTTTATCGAAATGGCTGCGGAAAATAGTTGGAGTTTAGCAATAGAGAAATGGTAAATAAACTATTAATACCGTTATAGGTTCGATTCACACTTGCGTCCATGTCTTGTACCAGACTTAATCAATCTTAATCAATGCTGATTGGATGGCTGAAGTAAATCTTCAAAGCATTTGTCTATATTTATGAGATGAGGTATTATGTACATTATTTACATTATTCAGAGTATTGTCCTCATCTTTGTCGATATAGACAAGGACACATGGCACAGAGGATAAAGGCATTAGTTAGATCCATTGACAGGAGCCAAAGCGTGTGAGTTCAATACCCGGTTAAGGCAATGGAGAACTTGGAGAGGGGAATTAACAGGAGATAACTGATAACTGATATTCATTAAACATGGCACGTGGAACTAGAACAGTCTACCCCAGTGAGCGAAATAAAGGGTTCTGTTCCACATTCCAACCACCTGAAGAAGGCCGGAGCGTACAACGGCTGAAACGTTGTAATCAATATGGCGACAAAAATGAGGACAATAGTCTGAATAATGTAAATTGTATAAATCTTCGAAATCATTACTATTGTAGTGAGATCAACATTCCCTAGTGGGAGATTTCTACAAAGTTGGCGCAGAAAATAAATTCGGTGTGCCGAGTTCAATTCTCAGTCAGTTCTGTTTCATTTAATTCACGATAATATCTTTAAATATTCATTCTTTGGAAAAGGCATGAATCCATTATCCTTACAACAGGATTCGTGAGATAATGTGATGATAACCCGCGTGATACTTTAGTGATTTCGATTTTCATTGACACCCTGCTCATGGCCTTGTGTCAAATTAAGTTAAGCAATCAATCATCTTGAATAACTCATAATGTCATTTAATCTACTTTTCAAAAAGATGAAGACGTCATAAAAGAGTGAATGTATAGCTACTGAATGTAAAATTACAGAAAGGAAGATAGTATTTTTCTAGTATCGACTTCTGTTTTAATTCAAGAATTCGTTCTTGTCTTAGCAATACAATGACCGCTTATGGCGCAATGGACGTCACCCAAATAAAATCTAAACAAAATTTATTCTGACTGAGTTTATTACCGCACTTGATATAATTCATTTTTTTTTAATCGGCTACTGGTGGCGCTACTGTAAATGACATTAAAAAAGAACCGAAAGTAGTCAGGCATATTCTACTTCGCTCTAGGCTATCGACTGAATATAATTGTCATTCCAGAAAAAATGCTTCTAGCTAATGTTGCTGTCTTTTGTATCAAAGCCGCTGGCTAAATAACCCTTCACTTCTTCATGTGCTAAACCAAACCTTTCAGGTTATCTAAATTCGAGTACATTGTGCATCGGCTACTGGAACCTCGTTGAAAACTTGTGCACTTTTATTGAATCGAATTCATCTTTGTCTTTCTGCATTGGTAAGTTTAGTTCGTTTAAGTTTTCCCATGAAAACGCCAATTTTATTAACCATATATAGCAGCAAATTAACTTTTATGGACACTAAGGAAGCAAGAATTCTTGAACTAATACACGCATTTTCCAAAGTTCATGTTTTTTTCATATGCACCTTCGTCCACTTTTAAGTCGATGACATCACACAGTATTGATTTCTCAAATATGTTTTGGACCAAATATGTGTTATCAAAGTTATTCTTCTTTCATAAGCAGATTCAGTTTCCTTTTTTTACTTTCTATTCATTTCAAACTTTTCAAATATCGATCCTTTTTCTACGTTGCTATCTCTGTTATCTCAAATATTTTTACTTCTTTCTTTAAATGTCACGAGGAAGTGCCGAAAACTAGGTAAACTGTAATATCGTAAGGAAATACCACAATTTACTGCCGAAATGTTTCATTTAAATGACGGCTTGTATTTTTTCAACCGGATTTACCCCAAGCAAGTCACTAAGACACAAGGGATTACTGGGTGTGAAAGAATTAGAAAACAGAAAGATTACGAAGAAGCGAGAGCAATAGAAGAGTAATCACGATTGACATTGCATTTAAATTTTTGAAGATGAAAGTTAACTGGAACGCATGGGACCGGAAGTGAGTTCCACAAGCGAGACGTGCGAGAAAAGAAACTGTTAGTATAGGACTTACAGTTACATCTAGCCAATTCAACTATGAATTGATGAGACTTTGCTACCAATCAAGTACTGCGCTTAAATTCTTAAAGTCTTACCACCATAGCGAAGAGTTACCATGAAAGCATTTATAAAAAAAAGACACACAGAGGCCACACTACGGCGGTGAGAAAGTTACTAAGGCTGAGATGCCAGGATAAGACCATTAATATTATTGATTCTTCTTTAGATTTTATGAAGAATCACTAAATATATAACAGTAGCACTGAACCATTTGGGGTAGCAATACTCTAAGCATGGATGAATGGTAGACATAAATATATGAGGAAGATTCTAGTGAGAAAAATTATCTAGCACGACACATTGAACCAAATTTCTTAGCAGCTAACCTAGAAATTGTTTTAACACAGACTTTCCCCTTCATGTCTTTCCATTGGTTAACTCAAGGAGGCGCAATGAGTCACTCTCCTTAGGGTTAGCATCAGCCATACTGATGGAAGGCAGGGAGGGGTCTCTCTCACGCGATAAATTGAGGATACTTGTGTTTTAGAGGCGTTAACAAGCCATTCTTTACCCTAGGTCGTTTTTGACATCAGTCGACAATTCCCAGAACGTTTGTTCTTCTGTTGCAAAAAGTAATGAACAAAGTGAAGATGAAGCCATGAAAATAATTTCTTCCGTGTGCGAGGCTGCATGCAGACCCTGTCGCCTTGTGATTTTATCTGGACATTGGTCCCAACATATTCCAGATA